CAGTTTATTTTTGTAGTGGTGGTGGGAGGGTCAAGGGCTTAAAAAGGCAGGAGATAAAATACTTCAAAGTAGCTCTGGTAATTTGGTCACCAAAGTTTGTAAAGATGCTCAGTTACTACTACATAGGAACCCTTAGGTATATTTGATCTCAGTATATTAACTTATGTAGAATTCTGGGCTCAAGTTTTCGCAAGTATATGAGCATTGTAGGTTTTTAATATGTTCACCCTGGGCTCCGTGATGGAAGTGTCGGGCTGCTGACCAAAATGTGGGTGGTGTGAACCCACCATGCTCTGCCAGACAGATGAGGCCCCGCTCCAATACGAGTTAAAACCTTAGAAAGCCACAGGGCAGCTCAGCACTGGCCTGTTGGGTGATTGAATCAACTGGATGGCACTTTAGTGGTGGGGGAGGCTTGTTAGGTCTGTTATTAGGTGAGTTATCAAGTCAGTCTGCCTGAGGATTTCCTTTTTTCTTTAGATTTAAAAAATTTTATTAATTGGGAGTTCATAAATCATCCCATAATTCAATCATGTCAAGCAGAATTGTACAACTGCCACAATCAACTTCCAAACATTTTTTCTTCCTGAATTCTTTGACATCATCCCCTTTACCCCACCTCCCAGACCCCACTGTAAACCACCCCCACTCTACTTGCTGTCCCTGTAGGTTTATCCATCTTGGCTTTCAAATACCAAAACAAAAACCACAACTTCATGAGGGTGACCTCCAATGACAATTCTGAGAATACACCCTCATGAACAAACAAAAATACAGGAAATGTTGAAAACCAGATCAGGTTCAGCATGCCTCACGGGGGGTGGGGGTAGGGGCCCATCAACAAGGTTTTAACTGTTCAAGTCAGGTTTATCCCTGTGATCCGTACTCATCTCCCCAATGCACTCCAGTAACCACTTTCCTCCTAGCCCTCCACTGGCCAGGGTCCACTGGAGGCTTCCTTTCTGTGTAGTTCGCTGTCATGCATAGCTTTCTGAAACGGTTCTCACACTTTAGGCTCTGGTACTAATCCCTTCTATGACTTTGGATCATATTTACAATCTGTTGACTGATGATGTGCTTCTTACTCAGGTTCTTGGTCTTTCTTAAGCGTCAATGTGTACGTTTAGGTGCCAGGGGCTTGGTTCTGGCTCGGTGACCCACTGTACAACAGAACGAAACACTGCCTGGTCCTGTGCCATCCTCACAATTACGTGTTGAGCCCATTGTTTCAACCACTGTCAGTCCGTCTTGTTGAGACCTTTGTCTTTTCACTTCTACCTTAGCAAGCATGATGTTCTCTAGGGAAAGATCTCTCCTGACATGTTCAAAATATGTAGGATGAA